TTATGATACCAATATTGAAAATTTTTGAAAATGCATTGTTAGATTCTAAATTAAAAAAAAATAAATTTATTTCTCTCCGTAAGTACTTCAGATGTTTCATGATTTGATAAAATGAAAAACATAACCACATTTGTACAACTAGATAGGAGACACTCATTATGCGAGTGCACGACAAACAAATTATTGGCAACAATTTGCTTGCAACGGCTTCTAATAATTTTTATATGTATTTTATTTAAGAATGTGGGTGTTAAGATATTCATAAACTCTGTGGAAGTTGAATTATGTGAGGTGAAATTAAAAATAAAAATAAAAATTATGTGAGGTGAAAACATGATCTCAGTTCTATGTTGGTGTCACTTTTGAATCAACCAAACAGAAGCCTCCTTGGAGCAAAATGGCCCTCTTCTATCACCTCCCTGCACCTAATTCTCCTATTACCTTTCACATTTTTTTTATATTTAATTTGTTTACTTTGACTACAACTGATGAAAAAGATCATCGTAATTCATTTTTTCGTAGTTTCACTAGTTTGAGTTCTTGATCCTTTATGATCAGTCTACATTAGTTTTTCAGTTTTTCCTTAATGTCAAAAGTTTGTAAGCGAAAATGTCTATTTTTTTACCTCATTGTTTTTTGTTTTTTATTTTCCCTTTCTTTTTGGTAGAAGGGAAAGGTCGATCGAAAGTTGGTGGCAGGTTTTTTCTATGTCAGAATCCTTCTCAGCATTTGAGTCCTCTGTTGTCTTTGGACAAAGCTTCAAGGTTTGTTTCACAAATTATTTTCTTTGTTTTCTAGACCACAAAATAGGGGTATAAAACCTTTATTTATTTATTTTCCTTTTCTCTGCAAGAAAATTCTTAGAAAGATTACTGAGATTTTCTATGCTAAATTTATAATTTTTTAGAAGAGTGTAAATTTGAACAAGATGTAGAGATTCTCAGTATCTCTCAACTTAGGCTTCAAAAATCTAAAAGAAAAAGAAAAATTTAAAAACTAATTTGGTTCTTGGTCTAGTTTTCAGTTCCAAATGTGAGAATTATTTTTGGTTAGTTTTATTCTAGACATAATTGAAATTAAACTGACTTGACCCATATGCATGTCTATGGATATTTGGGTTGTTTTTAGATTTCAAAGTTATGTCAAATTCGTAAAGGAAAAATTCAACAAGTGAACTACATATTAAAGCTACGCAAGTTAAAATAGGTCAAATAATACACAAACTCCAATCAATATATTTACTTGTTCAAGCAGATGGCATTGCGTGTGCTAATGCAGAAGGGGGCTTGGGTCAAGCGGCTGACATAAGCAAACACGGATATCAGGTAAATACTTAAATAGAAAGTTTTATTTATGAGTACAAGTAGATGAATACTATTTATGAAAAGATTTCTAAAAATAGTTTATGTTGTTATTTTGTCATTGCATTAGCGGGTAGTTTACAAATTTATTTTTTTCAAAAGTTGAAGGATATATATCACGGAATAAAAAAAATGCACCACCCTTCTGGTAGTATATTAGGATGGATGGAAAAAGTATATATATTACCAAAACAACCACACACCCACCGCCTGAAGCCGAGGTTGCTATGATGTAATGCATGCATATATGCATCGTTAGGCACCATATTTTCACGTGGGCCTTACATATCAATGGTGACTGGGTCTCCTTCAACTTTACGCATGAACAACAGGATTGCTATTTTGGCCAGGAGAAAAAAAAAACTTTGATTTCAAGTGTAATTGTGACCCCACAATGATTTGTTATAAAAACGTGCAGAAGGGGGCTTGGGTCAAGCGGCTGACATAAGCAAACACGGATATCAGGTAAATACTTAAATAGAAAGTTTTATTTATGAGTACAAGTAGATGAATACTATTTATGAAAAGATTTCTAAAAATAGTTTATGTTGTTATTTTGTCATTGCATTAGCGGGTAGTTTACAAATTTATTTTTTTCAAAAGTTGAAGGATATATATCACGGAATAAAAAAAATGCACCACCCTTCTGGTAGTATATTAGGATGGATGGAAAAAGTATATATATTACCAAAACAACCACACACCCACCGCCTGAAGCCGAGGTTGCTATGATGTAATGCATGCATATATGCATCGTCAGGCACCATATTTTCACGTGGGCCTTACATATCAATGGTGGCTGGGTCTCCTTCAACTTTACGTATGAACAACAGGATTGCTATTTTGGCCAGGAGAAAAAAAAAAAAAAACTTTGATTTCAAGTGTAATTGTGACCCCACAATGATTTGTAATAAAAACGTTAATAGCTTTGCTCACCACAAAATTCGTAACTTTTAATGTTCATACATTACCACAATAGTTTATAACTAAGATTCTTATGGTATGCTCCTTGGTAATTACACCATGATAATTCGTAACTAACATGAAAAAATTCCTAACTTTTGTTATGATAGGAGGGTGTATATAGTAGTCCCACTTTACAAACACAGTGGATCCTATGATTTTTCATGAGTTATTTTAGAATCGAAATTCCAGACTCTTGATGGAAATGTCTGAAAAGCATTCCATTTAACTTCGTAAAAATGTAGCAACTAACAAAAAATACCGTGTGCATAGAAAACCTAGGCTTTCAAACTGTAATTGTAATTTGGCAATTCTAACAAATTGGTCTAAATATGACAAGGATTGCAAATTAAGAACCATTTTCTAAATTTAGAAACTTGGTGACCAGACCACTGCCCATCCACTTCCTGTAGTTCGTTATTGACTTTGGATTAACAAATGTTATCAAATCCTCGGATTTTCTCTTCAAGCTTCAGCAGAACTGTTAACAGCATAACTACTCCTACATATGCCAAATTTTGTAGCTGGTTTATTATATTTCTTAAAAGTGGCTGAAGCATTTTTCCACATGTACTTCAGCTTGAGTGCCATATTCATATATAAAATTTGGCCGGAATGTGGCAACTTCATGATGAATTTTAAACCCTAGAGATACATTTCCTTTTCATAGATAAATTGTAATTATTTCTTTTTCTTTTGTAGATGTTTTGTGGGTTTCGATGTTGAATGGTTCCAAACTCTCTTATGGATCTTACACTTGTTTCTGTTTCAAAACATCAGCCAAAATGAAATATTTTATACATAGCAAAAAATTCAAGAAGATAAATGCTTGTTCATTGTTACTGATATATATTTGTAGCACAATTACCATTTTGTCAGTGATTCAAGACTAATTTTCTAACCTGTCCAAAAAAAAAGAGGACTTATTTTTTATTATTTTGAGGTAAATATGAAGTCAATTTGCTTATATTAGCATTATTTCTCTCTTGATTTTTTCCCCTTATAAATTTATAATCAAATTTCAAATTTCTTTCTAACAACCGTCAAAATTGATATTGTGGTTTTCTTCAGGATTTTTTCCCTTTTAACTACAATACCTCGCAACTTCTATATTTGCAAGAACTGACCACACCATGGAATTCATATATTCATTATTTAGTAAATGGTTGGGACATTACATAAACCTTAATCCAAACATGAAAAATCTCAAAAGAAAGAGAAAGGATTTGAGCACTAAAGTGGATGATGTAGAAACAGAACTGAGAGGCGCAGAGCACCATCCAGCCAAAAGACCAAGGAAAGTGGCTCAACATTGGTGTAAAAATGCACAAGAGATAATAGAATCCATGCAAAGACTTGAGGAAGAAATAGATGGACTTGGACAATGGATGTTTGTCTGACGCGCACTGTTGGGAAAGCATGTCGAGGAGAAGATTCAAGAGGTGGTAGAACTGCAAGAACAGCATAATTTTCCTTGTGGTGTGCTGATTGATGCTCCTACAACTTTTGAAGAGTTCATACCAACAGCAAGATTTTTTTGTGGAAATGAAACCATAACTGCAAGGAACAATGGGAAATACTTGATGGATGATGAGGTTAGAAAGATTAACACTACTAGAAAATTGGTATTTGCATTGGAAATATTTGTGATGGTGCAAATATCGTTGCAAAATGTTGACCTTTTTGTCATTGTGTAAAATATTATTAGCGACCAAAATATTTGTAGTGACAATGCTGTCGTAAAAAGTGAGTGTTTGCTATGGAATTACCATGCTAATGCAAAAGTGCCTACAATTTTTTGCCACAACATGTTCCATCATTGAAAAAAGTAAGTGTCTATATCATATATGCAACAATTAGAGATTGCCATCACAAATACTATTTTTTATGGCAGCATTGTTGTCGTTGCAAAAAAACTCGACTGTAATACGACGATGTTTGGCTCTCTATTTGTTTCCCCTGACTTTCCCTAGATTTTTTCCCCCAAATATTTCTTCTCTCTCTCAACTGTCTCACTCATTCATTATCTCACTTTTGTAGCTCTCCAATGGCAACCACCAATGGATTCAAGAGGTGGTAGAACTGCAAGAACAGCATAATTTTCCTTGTGGTGTGCTGATTGATGCTCCTACAACTTCTGAAGAGTTCATACCAACAGCAAGATTTTTTTGTGGAAATGAAACCATAACTGCAAGGAACAATGGGAAATACTTGATGGATGATGAGGTTAGAAAGATTAACACTACTAGAAAATTGGTATTTGCATTGGAAATATTTGTGATGGTGCAAATATCGTTGCAAAATGTTGACCTTTTTGTCATTGTGTAAAATATTATTAGCGACCAAAATATTTGTAGTGACAATGCTGTCGTAAAAAGTGAGTGTTTGCTATGGAATTACCATGCTAATGCAAAAGTGCCTACAATTTTTTGCCACAACATGTTCCATCATTGAAAAAAGTAAGTGTCTATATCATATATGCAACAATTAGAGATTGCCATCACAAATACTATTTTTTATGGCAGCATTGTTGTCGTTGCAAAAAAACTCGACTGTAATACGACGATGTTTTGGCTCTCTATTTGTTTCCCCTGACTTTCCCTAGATTTTTTCCCCCAAATATTTTCTTCTCTCTCAACTGTCTCACTCATTCATTATCTCACTTTTGTAGCTCTCCAATGGCAACCACCAACGTTGGCAACCACTTGCATCAGTAACTAATCAGTATCGACAACCACCACCTTTGAACAGCTCCAAAGTTGTCACCACTATTGTGTGCCCATTCCCAACTTCACCAGTAAGTCATTTGTGTGTGTAATTTTAGATCTGGATATTATGTTGAATTCTTGTTGTTGATGGTTTACGATGGTGGCAGAGGGCGTTGATGGTGGCATGTATGGATGTGGGAGGGAAAAAAGGGTGGTGGTAGAAGGGCGGGGAAAGGATGAAGGGGAAAGGGTAGGGGAGGATAGTGGTAGAGGGGTGGGGAAAAGTGATGAGGGTGGCGGATGTGGGTTTGGCAGAGAGAGGAAGGCATTAGAGAGGTTTGGGGTGGAGGGGTGAGGGAGAGTGGGAGAGGGAGTTGGCAGTTAGGGTGGCATTCACATATGTGCAAAAGCACATTTTATAATCGTGTTCATGATATGTGTGCAAGTTTATACAATTCTTTTTACAACTTTCATATGAATTTTTCCTTCGTTCCTCACATTCTAATTATAATAATTAAGTCCTCAAACTGCAACTCTTATTTCAATGTGATTATCTCATCACTCTTCATTAAAAATTTGAAACATAAATGACCAAAGTGGAATTTGAGTCAAAGTTGAAAGGTGAAAAATGTAATTTACACTATAATTTCTATCTTCCAAAAAATGTGCAGCGTTTTCCATACAAAATTTTGACAGTGAGTGATGGGTGGACCACATTGAAACACGAGGTCAAGTTTGACAACTTAATTGTTGTAATTAGAAGTTAGTATACCAAAGTTAAATTTTGGTGATAGTTGGAGGTTGAAAGAGTAATTACCCATTCTTTGGTACATTGAGGGCCATAGTGTAGGGATGATGAGTATTTCTTTGACAAGACTTGAACCCTTAATCTCTTAGTGAGGTGTAAGGGTTTTAGTGATGGCGAACACGGAAAGAAGAAATCCGGAATTCCACATAAAGTATGTTTAAGTCATCAAGGATTGAAGTTTTGGAATATTTTGAGTCTTTATATATATTTATTTTAATTTATTGCACTGCTGGACAAATTTATGTCATTATAATAGGTTTTAGTACTAAGGGTATTATGGTAATTTCAATAATTGTTGGACATGGGTTCTAGGGGTTGCCCATGGGTTTTATTTTGGGCCAAGTTATTAGATGGGTAAAGGTTACTTGATGGAAGATTATATAAATTTTTATGCACAATAACTCCATGATGTGGAAAACTAAATCTAATTGACCATTGAGAAACTATGATGGTGTTGATAATGTGGATTGTGCTGATGGGAAGAGCATAATTTTTTTATCTAGATAAATAATGTGTGGGTATAACCCCAAGGGGTTGATTTGGTGGCAAGGCCTTGGGTCTTGGGGGTGTGCTCCTTCCAAGGTTCAAGGATCAAAACCCTATTAGGTGCTAACAATTTTTTGGGGCCATCGGATTGGGAAAACTCTTGAATTAACCGTGGTGCACTTGTGGGAAACTCCTTGCCGAGGGCCTGTGCACCCTTGGGGATTAGTCGGGTTTTGATCCGGACACCCTGATGCCAATAAAAAAATAAAAAAATAATGCAGGGGTACAAACTCATTGGTGTGAACATATAGTAACCTATCTCACGAGCCCAATCTTGATAATTTTTATATTCAAATGTATATGATATTTACATATTTGGGTAAATTATACTTTAAACCTTTGGGGTTAGGCCAAAAAATGTAGTGCCTTGTTGAAATTTGATTTGTGACATTTAACCCCCTGAAGTTGATAACAAAGTGAAAAGTGATGTTTTTCGTCCAAACTAACAGCATGTAGTTGTGATGCCCCAAAAATAGATATTTTATTTTATTTATATTGTATTATTAAAATTTTACTGTGAAATTAATACCACTTAAGTAAATTTCGCTTTTTCCTTCTTTATTTTTCCTTTTATGTTCTCTCAACTCTTTCCGTCTTTCTTCCTCAGTCTCCCCTTTTGCCAAAGTTTACAGATTTGGTTTCGATTTGGTTGGGGAGTGAGGATGGGGTTGGGGATGAGGGATGTGAGGGATTGCGATGATGAGGTAGGAGAGGGAAGGCGCTGCGCCAATGGGAGAGGAGGAGGCAAGGGGTACTAGAAGTTCTTTCCTTTGATTTCTGAGAACCCACCATTCACTAATGATGCAACTGTTATTAGCAACATGGCTGCGATGAACAAAAAAAGTGGTTGTGAGTATATATCACAACAATATAAACCTCACTGTGTTCACCTCTCTCTCTTTCTATAAATATATGGTGGTGGAGGTGGGTGGTAGTGGTGATTTTAGGTGGTGGTTATGGGTAATAGTGGTGGGATGAGAGAGAAGAAAAAGAAAAGAGGAGAATGGAGGGAAATAAAATAATTATTTTTGTAATTTGAAATTTTTTTGTTTTAAGGTATTCATTTTTCATTTAGGTATTGACACCATGGGGTTTAGTGTCAAATCAAACTTCAAGAGGCATATCATTTTTTGGCTTAACCTCAAGGAAGTCGATTGTTATTTACCCTATACATATCTTTCAAGCTACAAAACAAACACCTTGAAGTAGTTAAGAGCAAACTGTCTCGTGTCGACGATCATCAGATTTGACACGAACAGTTCAAAACTTTCTACACCTAGATCAAGGAACATGTTTGTCTTTAAATCTATGCCAACCAACATATAATTTTATTCTGAATTTACATGTTTGTTTTGAATGAGTCTTTGTAAACAACAAATAATATCATATTTTCTGAAGAAATCAATAGATTGTTAGATGGTCCTCAAAACTTGGCAAAGAAGTTTTAAAACTATATAATCAATGAGTTTTGTTTTTGTGTAAAGGCCAGGATGATCGTTGAGCCACACAATATTGTGATGTATGACTTTAAAGGCAAATACTGTGAGTTATGCTAGTAAGAGAGACAAAAATCCTCACATAGGGACAGTGTACTGCAATACATACTTGACTGTCATTATTGAAATGTAATACAGTCATGATCGCAAGTATATCTTGTTTTAGTGTGATGGGATTGAATTATTACTTGAATTAATGAGATGTAACATGTTTTCTGTTTATGTCCATATCATGTATTATCAATTCAATTGATGAGCTATTAATTATAAAAAAAAAATTCTATTGATGAGCTATTACTCTCAGCTAACTAATTATGTCTGTACCTTGAATTTATCAATTCTATTTCTTACAGATTACTATGTCAAAGGGAAGCTGCAATCATCTTGCTCATTCAGATTACACTCACACCTCTACCTCACAGCCATCATCCTAGAAGCCTCAATCACAGCCACCATCATTGGCACCTTCATCATCACTTGCAACCACATCACTACCATCATCATCACATCCCACCTCAGGTATGTACATCTTTAATGATTTTACATTAATTGCTATGTTAATCATGCCATACTTTGTTTATCTTCAACTTGTTCATTATCATTGTTTCTCTCAGGCCTAGCGACTTTTAACTCTACCTTGACTAGGTGTAGTCAAGGCTATGTTAGGGGCATCAAGGAGTGGAATACTGGTGCTAGGATGGACATTGTCACGACCCAAACCCGGCCCTATGGGTTTAGCACCGTAACTGGCCAGTAATCCGAGATTACCGAAGGCCTGCTTAACAGTAGTACAGTAAAATAGAGTTCAGGGCCTGGCGGAAGCCAATACAGTAAATAAATAATGTCCATTGAGCTGTGACAGTCCGTATGCCAAAAAGATTTTTCATGCATTCACATATACAAACAGTACAGTCTATACAAAATTTACAGTCACACAGTACAGGGACCTAATCCCTTGATAACAGTACAGTTAGCAGCTGACAGTCTATACAGTAATCCAAACAGTATGGAGACAGACGGGCAAAAAACAAAACACCCCAAAGCCATAGCATGGCAACTCGGAACCTCGCAGTGAGGCACATAGGCTGGCTTGACAAAACTGGAGTCTAACCCGCGCTCCTAGCTCCGATCGGGTGGCTGAGCACCTACATATATATATAAACAGTGAGCTAAAGCCCAATGAATAACATAATGCGTAAAGAGGTTAGGAATGAATGTCCTTACAGTATGAAAACAGTTCATTTAAACAGTATTTCAGTTGTTCAGTCAGTACAGTCATATGTGGTACACCCATTAGCATAACAGTACAGTAAACAATAGGTCTTGAAAGACCGAGCAGTAAATGATGGCCATCAGTCAGTAACAGTAGTGGTTCCAACAAGGGAACCGACAGAGATCTCTGTAACAGTAACAGTAACAGTAAACAGTAGGTGCTAAGGATGACACAATACAGTTCAGAATATAGGACATACACTCATTCAGTTAACAGTAATCAGTTCAGAAAATAGTACAGTTCAGTTGTTCAGAAGATAATCATTTCGAACATATCTTTACACAGTCGTTACTCACAGAGTTTGGACTACAGTATGCTAGAGCATGCCTTCCCAGTCGCCAACCCTATACAGTTAACAGATTGAACACACACTAAGCTACACAACTGGGAAAGATAATAACTTAATCCCTAATTTGCCTCGGTGTGTTCTACATCTATGCCCTCAAAGATGTCTTAAACTAGGTCTAAGAATGCCTAGAATGGGATGAGGATGCAAAGATGTACTTTTAAAAGCATTTTCAGATTTTTCAGAAAACAGGGGTCACGCTCGAGCGTAGGTCGCTCCGCTCGAGCGGATATGCAGATAAAGGTACCCGCTCGAGCATAGAATTACCCGCTCGAGCGTTCTGTAAAAACAGTCAAAAGTGCTGGATGGTTGGAATCTCCGCTCGACGGACGCTCGACGCCCGCTCGAGCTTGAGACACATGATTCCGCTCGAGCGCCCGATCCTACGCTCGAGCGGACTGTAAAACAGTGCAGAGATACTGGATGCTCGGATTCCACGCTCGAGCGGCACTTCCCCCGCTCGAGTGGAAGTGCAAAATCTGGAAATTCCAGATTGCACCTCCAAGCCAAAAACCAATTTCAAAAGCATCAAAACCGATCCTCTTGGGCTGAATTTCCAGAAAACACTTGTAAACATATAGAATATCATAGTTCAAAGCTCAATTTTGAGAAATCAAAGCCCAAGAGTGTTTAATTGAAACCCAATTTCAAACCATTTTCATGAACATGGAAAACAAGCAAACATGCAAGAATTCAAATCATTTTGAAGTTTCGATTTGATGCTCTAAGGAGCCAATTGATCCAAAAACAAGTTGAAAACATGGACCATTACAAAATTATGAACATGCATGTACCATTTTACCATGAATTCAACTCAAAACTCATCAATTCAAACATGCATGCATGAATTATGTTCTAATCCTACATGTATGAACTAAAACAAGACTTAACTCTACAATTGAAGCATGAATCATGCAAGAATTAATTCTATGACAACAACAAGAAGATGAATGTCCTACCTTAGTCTTGTATTCAAGGTTTAGGAGTCCAATTTGACAATTTACACTTCAATTCCAAGCAATTCAAGCCAATTCACTAGAACAATTCAACTCTCTCCCTTCCTCTCTCTCTATGGTCGGTTGAACAAGGAGAAGGAACTAATGAAATGTTTTGATTCAAGTATGCAAAGGTTTAATATGTGTGAAGTAGTGGCCACTAAGTGGTCTAAGTGTAAATAAGTCCAATTCATGTAATTTGGTACCATTAATCTAATTTAATCCTACCTAATCAGTTTTCAGATAAATATGCTATAAAATCACATAAATTTCGATGATCATAACACTAATCGATTTCTGGTTCGGCCGTCGATAAGGCCTTCAAGTAGCAGTTTAAACATAAAACACGAACAGATCAAATAATCAATCAAACAGATAGAATACAAATTAACATACACACTCAGTCAATTCAGTTCTCATGCCATACTTTGTTTATCTTCAACTTGTTCATTATCATTGTTTCTCTCAGGCCTAGCGACTTTTAACTCTACCTTGACTAGGTGTAGTCAAGGCTATGTTAGGGGGCATCAAGGAGTGGAATACTGGTGCTAGGATGGACATCCAATTGACAGCACATTCCAACCAGTAGGGGATCAAGATGCCTCCTTGAATGGCCAACTTGGACAGATAGTGCGTAACGGCACCACATTCGCCTCACATATGGTAATTGTAACTCGGCGGGTTATTGTAGCAATAATTCAGCAGTAGTGGTTTATTAGTGAAAATTAATTTCTAAAAATTTAAATATCACTTTAAATGTTTAGCTAATATTATAAACGTGGAACTAATGTTACAGAAGATATCGTCTCAAAACTCCTGCAATTGGGAGCTTCGTGGCCCACCTCTTACGATGGGGCAGACACATTTCTCGCAAATACAACATCAAGTATTGTGTTTTTCTTCTTTTTTAATTTTTCCACCATCGTATTTTTTTTGCGTCGTTGTGTACTTGTGTTTTTAAAATGTAGGACGGGTATAATTGGCAACTCTTTGATGAGCCCGAGTCCCTCCAAGTGACACAACTTGGGTATTTTCAGACATATGGGGGGGATGCGCCTGAGCGTGCGGTGTACAGACATGGTGTGGGCCCATCACTTGCATCTCAAGCCTTAATGATGGCCGAGATCACTCAACAAGTTTGGGAGAATTTAACGCAGGAGCAAGCCTCAATGATTGTCCAAAACACACAACAAATGTGTGAGAAGCTCAAAAGGGAGCTCAGGGCTGAACTCATTACACATATCGAGCAAATGACGAATTAATTTCAAGTGAAGAAGGGAGTTCAGATGCCTTCTAGGTGCAGTACAAATTTTGTTTTTTTTACTTACTATATTTTAATTTTAATTTTTTTTAAAAAAATCTATTCATATGCCTAACAAATTATATACTTTAATGTTGTAGGTTCTGGATGTGTCTGAGTGGCCACTGTGCATTTAGGGAGTGTATAGAACATAGGACCCTACTGTTGCAGCCTACTTCTACACCGCTACCACTTTATACACTACGCGATGAGCGAGTATCTTCTTTACATAAACACATGCATATATCTATATTATCACACAAACGATTTAGGTTAAAAGTGAGCCTATTAAAAAACCTTTAGTGGTGTTGAGAAGCTAAGATTGATCTTACTGAAAATTTCAGATATTTTGGTCCATTTGTTGAATGGTTTGGTTGTAGAGGTTACTCAGAACCTAACTATATTGGTGTATTTATTATTACTAGAAGTTGTGTTACAAGTTATACGCATGTATGGTAATACATCGAATTAAATATAATTTACTAAAATAAAAACCAAAATTCTAAATTAAAATCATGGGATACATAACACTAACAAAAAAGTCAGTTTATCTTTCTATCTTAATTTCTGTCTGCCAAACTGAGGAATATTGTACTTTTTTTTCTTTTTTTTTATATTCCTTCTCCAATTAAGGAGAGAACAAACTTGATAAGAACACAATTGGATATGTGTTGTGTCGTGTCAGGTTGTATTAGTGTGTCATGACATTTCGAATTTGTGTCAGAAATATCTCAATATTAACCCAACATCGTTGTGCGGGTGGGGGAGAGCTAGGTAGTCGTCGGAGGTGGAAGGGTGGTGGCTATGGCAGTTGGATCACAATTTCGTTGTTGGTTGAGAGTTCCTTGATTCAAAGCCTTGATTAAGGAAAGAAATCAAAGAAGCTGCAATTTCGCACAACACTTGTGAGATCTGAGAGGAGATGGGAGTGAGATTCGCATTATGAGAAGTGATCATGTAGCATTAGCGCTGCTGATTAGAAAACCAGTACAATCTCATTCCACAAAATAATCATGGCAATCAAAAAGAAAATCAGTCAGTAATCCCCTTTGATCCAGAGTACCACAAGTCTCAACCATAGTTTGCAAATTCAATTTAGGTGTTGCAACAAAATACTTCAAAATAACTTCTACTTTTTAGCAATTTATCCCAATTACAACTTGAGCAACACTATTCCTCTGGACCTTTAATAAAGAAGAAGAAAAAGACAATTAGTTTGATATTTAGTATTAAAATATATTAAGTATATGAAAACGAGAAAATTTTCAATAGGTAAAGTTAAAACTACAAAATAAATTTGTAAAATTTTTTGTGATTCTAGAGTGTAAAGAAAAAGTACTCGTACAATTTAGTTATCATTAGAGACAAAATAATTCCAATAAGGCGAGTTCACTAATCATACAACTTAGATACTCATAGGATTCATGATTCAATATCTAAAGAAATATGATAATTCAATACAGACATTCCAAAACTCAACCGTTTGATAAACACAACCTCAAGTTTTTGCAACTGCAACCACAGTAAGTAACTGGTGACAAAAATCCAAAACTAAGTTTAGCTCTATGGTCAAAGAAAAAAAGAAAGTAGAGTTTTTGTGTCTATACTTAACCTTCATGTCTTTCAGTCCAAATCAGAGCAAACTGGATTCATACTCTTAACAAAACACATGAATGATCTTATAAAACATTTCAATACCAATAAAACAATCATCACAAATAGTTTTGATAATAAAAAAAAGTTAAATGGCAATTCTCTTACTTGATCCTCATTGCCACAAACAGAAGAAAATTATACTCTATTTGGTTGATTGAAACGAGAATGGTGATTACTATTCCTTTAAAATGGTGAAAGATGATTATATTTGAAATGCATTTGCAATTATTTTTTTAGTCTAACCAAATATAGGAATGAATATTTTGATAGAATGATCATCAATTCCACTTAATTCCAATGAACTAAATGCTATCTAATGGCCTTAACGATCAAAACATAATTTACTATCAGCTGAACCATTGATGGCAAATTTGGCACCAAATCAATGATGAATCAAATCCTTCACCAAATTTCAAACAGTGGTATTTTTATTTAAATTTGATAAAATTCTAAAAAGAATATCAGGGATGATTTTCTTCTATACAAAAATAGTTAAAACAAGTTTTTGGGTAAGTTTAGAATTTTTCAAAAATATATTATCCAAAAAAAAAAGAGTACGAATTGAAGTGTTCTACACGATATCAAGCTTTGAATCAAATTTTCAATCAAATTTGATGAAAAAAATAAGTACAAATACCTGGTTAGCTATTGGAAAAGAAATGATGAAGAGAGGTTTTGGTATGGAGATCATCCCATTCCAGAGATTCCCACCATTTACACTCTCCATAAATGTGCTGAAGAGCAGGTGGTGCAGATGCTTGCTCACCATCCTCATCCATGTACAAAGAAATAGGCAATCTATTTAAGGGCAAGCAACTAAGTCACTACTGATATTGACAAGACAAGTATTTTGATGCAAACAAATAGGAGAGGCCATTTTTAGAGCAGCTTCGTGACTAATAGTCATCAACTCTCGTCTTGTGCTTCTTCTTTCAAACAAACCAATCTTAATGGTTTGAATTAGAGATTGATGTTTGTAAGCTCCTTCACATAATTAATGATAACGGTTCCTTTCCGCTGCCTTTCCTGCATCAAGACAGAAAAATAACGATACAACATTGAAATACAAAGAAAGAATGTCACGCCTCAAAGCCAACCAAGCTAGGCATGTGACAATGTCACACACCTATAAGACTTACAGCACCTGTGAGCATGCAAAAAAGAGATGGTGAGAAACTCAATTCAATTTCATTCCACAAAATAATCATGGCAATCAAGAGATGAAATCACAATCAGTAATTCTTTAATTCACAATACCAAAAGTTTCAACAACAATTCACAAATTCAGTTTAGCTAGTTTAATGTTTAAAGCATGCCAAACCTAGAGTTCCATAATCTGAATATTTCAAAGATTAATTGCCTCCATCAAAGCAAACAAGAGTTCTATAATTTAAATCAATGTCGTAACAAAACAATTCAAAATAACTTCTACTTGTAGCACTCTATCCCAATAATAACTTCCACTGCTTCCACCACACTATTCTTCTGGATCTGTAATCAAAGGAAGACGATCAGTTTGATAGCTCAATAATTAACTACTGTAACAACTAACTGAATCAATTATACAAAAAAAGAATAATTTCAATTAATAAAGTTAAACAACATAATTTTTTGTGATTTAAGAGTGTAAAGAAAATGTAATGTACTTCAGTTAATAGTTAACACAAAATCATTCCAATAAGGTGAGTTCCATAATGATAGAATTTTTAAACTTGTAGGATTATAATTCGTTTGGATCATATAGTTTTGGTGAGAAAAGAAAACATTTGTTCAGAGGGTTAAGTAGGTGAAAAATGGAGACAAAGTGTGAGAAATAGTGAGAAAGAGAAGTATCTTATTTTGACTATTTGATTTCTTACTGAAAGTTGTGAGATTTGGTGAGAAACAAGTTGATTGGTTGTAAAATATTTACAATACCAAGATTACCCCTTAAAATAAAAAAGAATAAAAAGAAATCTCACTCAAATTTCTCTCTCACATGATTTGCTTTCTTACCAATCTAAATACGATAGTGAGAAAACACATGTTTTTTCTTTACTCAACTAGATGGGAGAGACCACAATAATTTTTTTTTCCCTTACCCCATGATCCAAACATGGTATTACTATTCGATATATCAACAAATTTAATAATTCAATTCAATCAATCCAAAACTCAATGGGTTTGATAAACACAAACTCATGTTTTAGCAAATGCAACCACAGTAACGAGTGACAAAAGCCAAACCACGTTTAGCTCCATGGTCAAAAATCAAAAGAAAGTAGCTTATGTGTCAATATTTAACTCCCATTTGCTTTGGGTTCACATTATTGTCAAACAAAATTCATACCCTTCATAAAGTACAAAATTCATACCCTTTATAAAGTACATGAATCCACAATGATCTTATAAAATATTTCTATAGAAATAAAAAATAAAAATAAAAAAAACTCGGGACACAAGACTCCAACTGAAATATAATCTGAAGAGGACAAAATGTATGCAACCTTACCCCATTTTTGAAGAGATTGTATCCATAACTAAGAGGTGATTTTATTACTCAATGTTTAAACATTTTCAAACCAAAATATGCAGTTAAAAGAAATTCTAGATGTGGTATGAGATGACTTACCTATAGTGAAATGAATCCGCACTCAAGAGTTCATGAATTGAAAGCTGTAAACAAGGAATTCAACAAGATTATAAAAATAATAGTGGTTCTATGTATGTAAAAATCATCATAAATAAATTACACAAAATATTTACATGTGCGGGACCCATAAATTATTAAATCTACACTAATGTGAATGTTCTGTATATTTTATGTGGTTAATTTTTGTGTACCTAAATTTTTTATAATAAAGTTAAGTACTCCCATACCTCTTTCAAAACTGACTAGTTTTGGGAAAAATAAGTATAACAAGGGAAGAACAATTGTTTCTACCTTCATATGATTGTCAAAATAAACAAGTATAGATCATGTCGTTCTTGGGGTATTTTTCTCTTTTTGCATAAAATCAATTAATCAAAAGCCTAATAAGTGAATGTCATCTACAAGTCTAACCAAATTGGTCAAATACCAAACAACCACTCTAATCCCAATAGACTCTCAAATAATTCTGTGAAATCATGCGAGTTTTCTTTCCCATCATTTCTTATCCTTTCTCACCAAATCACTCAATCTAAATGGAATGGAAATGTAAAATAAGCAGGGATTTGAATTACCTTAATGATGATTTCAATATTATTCAATTTCATTTCTTTCAAGAGATTCAGTCTCTTCTTCTTCTGGTACTTCTACAAGAAAATGTCAAGATTGAGAGGGGGGAAAGCAAAGAAAGATCCTAAAACCAACTTATTTGATCAGAGATCATAATTATTTATTTTATTTTGGATAAAATACAAAGAAGCATACCTTTCATATCACTTTAGTCTTTTAAATTTTAATTTTGTTAATTTCTCTCTTCAAATTATCAAATTAGTCTAATCTTAAACTACTGTTTAAATCATTAACGAAATTTTAAAGTTCCAATTTTGCTAATTTTGTCTCTCAATATTTCAAGTTATTTTTATTTTTCTCATAAATGTTTTGAGAACAAACTAACAAAATTAAAAAACTTTAAGAACCAAAGTCAAATGTACATTTTATTATTATTCCATTAACTATTTAAGCAATGAGTTCAAACAAGACCAAATTAATATAAATTAAAATTTTAATAATGAAATTGACAAAATTAAAACTTGACACAGTGACACAAAATGCATACTTAAAATAACTTAAATATAATTTATCATTTATTTTTATATTCTTGTTTGAGTTTTGAATGCCCTTTATATAATTTTTCCATTCAACTCCAAAAAAGATTGATTAAGGTTTTTTTAATTGGTTTAGAAATTTTGAAGTGTATTTAAAATACTTTTTCAACTTCTAGTCTTTTTTCTCTGAGTGATGATATGTGATTGCTTGTATTACTGGCACATTAATATTCGTAATCCTTTTATATAAACAAAAAAAATAAAAAAAATTACTTGCCACAAAAAATTATTTTTACAGATTTAGTATCCAGCAAATTGAATTTATTATTATTTTTGTATTTAACTTTATTATCTCACATTTCATTATAAGATTATTGAAAATTATTCCTACAAGAATCTGTACAACTTTAAGCATGTCTTATTAGAAAATTTACAAAGTTTAATCTTACATAACAATGTCCTATATGTGAGACTAGGATTTCCTCTAGTTCATAATATGCACTAGATGTGGTCACCACCATAGTTTTATTTTGATAATTCAAAATATTTATTTTGTAGGGTTCTTCGTATATACCATCTACATAAAAGAATTAGATCAATCTAATATTCATAGTCTATCTAATTTATCGCGTTTATAACTAAAAAAAAAATGATTTATTTTAAAAAATATACTTATTGTCTAATTTTATTTTATTTTTTTGGAAACAAATGCTTAATTTGAATACTCTACAATTATCGAATTAACATAATTTTTTGTGTGGATGATACGAAGAGTCTGACAAAAGAAATGATTTGAATTATAAAAATGGGACCCGTAATAAATCTCATGAGCCCAGACAACATCTTCTAATCTAAATCATGTATTGGAGGGAATCCAGATCTATATCTGTGCATGTGTACCCTTGAACTTTTGTGTGCTGAGTGTTTGTCATTACATTTTCAGAAATAATATAATGGTAGATCTTTCACAAAAGCAATATGATTTAATCTAACAGTGAGAAAATAATCAATAATTTATAATATTCAAATTTATTATATATATATATATATATATATATATTAATAATATAATTCGAGTTGATTGAGTTGTGAAACTTAAACCTTATTCAAATTTAATTAGGCCGTAAAATTTAGCTCAAACCTTGACCAAATTTAAAATCATAGTCTAAATTCTAAAAAATTTCAAATTAGACCAGGGTTGCTCATATTAGGCCAACCGAAATTGAACCCTAGTTTTAACAAAGATTTTTTTGAGTCTATTTTTTTGCGACGGATTATTTAACGGTCGCAAAAAATCATTTTTGAACATCAAAAACTTATTTTACCATCTCATTTTTCTGTCCCAATCGTGTTCTTCAAAAAATAAAAAAATAATAAAAATCAGTATTTATTGTGTCTATCTGCTACTGGTATTTTGTTATATCCAAAACATGTATGGGAGTAACAATATTAATTCGAGCTTAGATGTTTGAAACTTTCATGAAATTAAGTTTGGTGTCACAAATCATAAATAAATAGTTAATGCAATGTGTTGCGGTGACTTGGCTACATCTAGGTCTAATTTAAAATTTTGTAGGCATTTTTATTTAAATACAATTTGTTATATTTAAGAAGAGGACGGATTAAGACCCCTCAAAACTCCCACCACACCCCCCCTACATGGGGGTTGGGATTGGGAAAGAAGAAAAAAGAAAAGAAAAATGGACCAATCAAAAGCGAAGGGGTGGAGGGAAAGGGGTCTTAAACATTTTTGATTTAAGAAAAGGGCAAATACATTTTGCTATTTGTATCATTTTGGTCCCTACATTTTTAATTAGTTTAATTTTGACTTTTAATTTAAAATTTTGTGTTAATTTAGTTCAATTGATAATCCCGTTAGTATTTTAAAGAAAAATAATCACTGAGTTGAGTAAATTTATAATTTTATTATTAAAAATATGACACATGTCATTTATATGCGTATTTTTCATAAAAATATATTAAGAATTGTAATCAATTAGACCAAATTAAAACAAAATCATAAATTCAGACTTAAAATCAAATCAATTAAAATGAAGACGACTAAAATAATAATAAAAAAAAAAAAAAGAGTAAAGTATAAGAACCACCATCAATTTTTACCCTTAAAAAAATCTAACATGATGTTACAATATTACCTGGGCAGCAGAAAGGTTGAAGAGTGGTTTTGGTGAGGGGATTATCCCATTCCAGAGATTCCCACCATTCTTCTTCTACAAAAATGAATCGAAGAGCAGGTGGTGCAGTTGCTTGCTCACCATCCTCATTCTTGTGCAAAGAAATAGGCAATCTCCTTAACATGGGACAATTCGATATCGAAATGTGTTGCAGAGATTCACAGACCATTATGCCCTTATATATGCTCTCCAGCCTTGGTAGGTTTAGTAGATCTAATATCTTTAAATTTGGGAGTGTGATTGTGTCGCCATCATCTTCCCGATGCCCCCCTCGATCACTCGTCTCTACTTCTACTATTATCTCCTCCACATTCTTGCAGTCCCGCACTTTAAGCTTCTCAAGGTTTGGAAAGTTGTGCAACAACAGGGCAGAGAAAATATTCTCCATTTTCGGACATTGACGCAACACCAATCTCTTAAGGTTAAATGAAATGTTGTGTGGTGGAACAACTCTGTCAAAGAGTACCCTAAAATTGGGTAAATTAGAAAACTTTAATTTCTCAATCGTTGTTAGCGGGATGTGGTAGTCTTCTGAAAAGCATGATGATGATGAAAAGATGGATTCAAGCCCATCACACTCTTCGATCTTAAAGTTTTCTAAACCTCTTGCATCCCTTAACGACTGAATATCTGATAAGCTAATGTGATTGTGCCATCTTCTAATGTACAACTTCCATATGTCGCTGGGAAGCACTACGGCATCTACTCCAGTACTTGATAAAGATCCACCCTCGTACTCACAAGTGAGTCTCTCGTTTTTAATTTCATCAACAATTCCCACCTCAAGGCTGTACATTTCCAAACTTTTGCATTGCGCAGAATTCACATACATGGTAAGCTCTTGCACATTGTGAAACTGAACTTCGAGAACTTCTAATTGCTTCAAGCACAACAGCTCTTCTGCTGAAACTTTTACTTTTGTTCTCTGAATTTCAAGGGAATGGAGTTGTGTGAGTCTGCATAACTTCCGGCAAGGAGACATTCCTAGCTTGTAACCCGAGAGTTCAAGATTTCTGAGATTAACCAATTCTTCTATACCTTGGGGTACTTCTTCAATCTGACTATGAGTCAGCACAAAACATTCCAACGCCTTCAGTTTCTCCAGTGACGGCACATATTTTAGGTTGTGATTCTCCCGGAGTCTAAGCCCTCTGAGATTAACCAATTCTTCTATACCTTGGGGTGCTTCTTCAATCTGACTCTGACCTAGTTCAAAATGTTTCAACGCCTTCAGTTTCTCCAGTGACGGCACATATTTTAGGTTGCGATTCTCGCAGAGTGTAAGCCCTCTGAGATTAACCAATTCTTCTATACCTTGGGGTGCTTCTTCAATCTGACTCTGACCTAGTTCAAAATGTTCCAACGCCTTCAGTTTCTCCAGTGACGGCACATATTTTAGGTTGTGATTCTCCCGGAGTGTAAGCCCTCTGAGATTAACCAATTCTTCTATACCTTGGGGTGCTTCTTCAATCTGACTCTGACCTAGTTCAAAATGTTCCAACGCCTTCAGTTTCTCCAGTGACGGCACATATTTTAGGTTGCAATTCCCCCGAAGTCTAAGCTCTCTGAGATTAACCAATTCTTCTATACCTTGGGGTACTTTTTCAATCTGACTCCCAGCTAGTTCAAAATGTTCCAACGCCTTCAGTTTCTCCAGTGATGGCACATATTTTAGGTGATGCCCCCCGAGTCTAAGCTTTCTGAGATTAACCAATTCTTCTATACCTTGGGGTGCTGCTTCAATCTGCCTCACAGTTAGTTCAAAATGTTCCAACGCCTTCAGTTTCTCCAGTGACGGCACATATTTTACGTTGTGATTGTCCCAAAGTCCAAGCTTTCTGAGATTAACCAATTCTCCTATACCTTGGGGTACTTTTTCAATCTGACTCCCAGTTAGTTCAAAATGTTCCAACGCCTTAAGTTTCTCCAGTGACGGCACATTTTTTAGTTCATAACAGGCATTTAGTAACAGTTGATGCAAATTCTCCAACATGGAGATGGAATCTGGCAAAGACTCTATGTTAGTGTCGGACAAATCCAACACCTTGAGACGAGGCATATACAAAAAGAAGGAATTTTGAATCCGAAGTTCTGTTGACTTATTGCCTCGAAATAAGAAGGTGATGAGGCAAGGGCAATTGGGTGGTTCAGAAGGAAGTTCTTCAATATGGTTCCACATTAAGGAAACCCTCTCAAGATCCTCAGACCAGTCTTTATGTGGAACTCTTTTTAATCCCTCACCAGCTCGGACCATGAATCGAGGACTAGCTGATGTTATTTTGAGAGCCATATCTCTTATCAAATCATGCATCTTCACGCATTCTCTGCCATATATTATACTTTTTACCAACAAGCAGGTTTTAATGAGTTTATTCAATATAGAGTGACCTTCATCAAACATTGCTTCTATACTGTTCATCTCACTTATTAGTCCCTCAGCAATCCAATACTCTATCAGTTCTTCCCTATTGATGTCATGGTCTTCTGGATACAATGCACAATACAAGAAACAATGTCGTTCCTGTTCATCTTTTAGCCGACGATAACTAAATTCTAGTTGCTCAAAGAACCCTTCTTTGCCCAGGCGCCATCGTACACTTTTCGCATTTCTCCACTCGCGAATGTCATTCACTCCTATCATACATCCAGCCATAACAACAATTGCAAGGGGCAGACGAGCACATTTTTTGGCAACTTCTTTTGCAATTTCTTCTACCTCGGTTGTAAGCGTTGCCTGATGTTCTTTAACATTATTCATAAACAGATTCAGTGCTTCCTCTTCTGTGAGAAGCTCCATTTCAACAGGTCTGCAATTCATCTTTGTACAGACGTCTACCAATCGTGTAGTCAACACTAGCTTACATCCGTTATCTCTGGTTGGTTCCGGAATACCCATCTTCTCCAAAGGAAATTCTTTCCAAAGATCGTCTAAGATGAACACATACCTCTTCTTTTGGGAAAGCATCTTATTTATTTCTGACGCTGAACGTAATTCATCCTCATTATCGGAAAGAGCAATATTCAGCTTCTTAGCTATCTGCCCTTGTAGATTTTTGATGTCGAATGCTTTAGAAACTGTGACCCAAATAACATCACTAAAGGTAGAAGTTTCGGAAAGAAGTTGATTATTGATGCTTCCCATGATGGTTGTTTTGCCAATTCCCCCCATTCCGTGAACACCGATTTTTCTAACCGCATCATCCATCAAGAAATTCCAAATTTTCTCCCTGTTCCTTACACTTGTTGGTTCAACCAAAGATTCTGCTGTTGGTATGGCGTGCCCACAAGTTGGATCATCAATTAGCAAACCATTAGAAAATTCACCATTTTCATACAGTTTTTCCACCTCTTCAATCTTGTCCACTACACGCTTTCCCAAGTGTGCACGTTTGAAGGCATTCTTAAATCCTCGTACTTCTTGCTCTTGTCTTTCCAAAGTTTGGACATCAGCTGTTATCCTTTGCACATATTCTTGCCAACATTCAACGTCAACCCTTCGTTTTTTCCTTGACCGCTGCTCTGCATAATTCACTTCTACATTTATGTCATTGTTTCGGCCGTTCAATTGCTCCGTCTTCCTTTTGAGAGTTTCCATGTTAGTATCAAGGTTATTGAGATATCCAACCCATGGTCCAGTTAAATCACACAAATTCTTCCCAATTTCAATGGTTGAACAAATGTTTTCCATAGTGTGGCCTATTCCTGCAAATACAGAAGAGGATTGCAGTTAAAAGGAAATATTCAAAAGAAAACTTCAATATTGATTCTAATGACTGTTAGAAAGCAATTTCAAATTTGATTTACAAAAGTGTGAGAAAGAAAAACATGCTAATTTATGCAAACTGACTTCACATTCACCTCCAAATAATCGAAAGTCGGTCTTTGAATTGCTGACAAAATAGTGATTGTGCAAATAGATAGCTAGTAACAATGAACCAGCATTTATGGTGTTCAAGAATTTCTGTTATGACATTGATTGTAAATTTTAGGTGAGTGGATGATTTGAAACACAAACAAGAATAAGATCTATGCTAGAGTTTATCTGCCCAAGCTCAACCTAATTAAGTTAGTGAAAATCGACCTAGTTGCCCAAGTTAAGTTAATTAATTTATAAAAATTCAACTTTGTTTACATTTTTTTTGTTAAATCGTAAATAACATCAAAATAAATAATTTATATAATGCGAGAGATTAAAAAAATTGAAAAATCGATGTGATGTCTTTACAATTTCTGGCCAAATTCTAACACTCTTTTAACATCTTTTCCAAAAAAAAATTGATGACCAAGCTTAAAATAATAATAAAAAAAAGCAGAGCAAAAACTATTCCATTAATAGATTAACACTTAACACTTTGTCTCCTAAAACTCTAATACAAAAGTAGTGGATTCCATGATTTAGACCAATAACTACTCAATTGGAGCACCACCTAGACATGCTTCAGGAGTATTGAATAATTTTTCGAAGCTCACTATGCTGTTTCAGAAACATACGCTGAATGCTATGGAAAACAAGGTAAGAGTCAATATAAATATACATGCAATCCACACACGCGATGCATATACAACTCAAAAAAATAATAATAATATTATAAAAAATAATAGCAAAGAAAAATATGCATATAGCATGCGTGTGCAGCTAAAAATAATAATATTATAAGAATAATAACAAAAAATATATATACACATACAGTATGGGTTGCTCAAGTGGTAAAAGTTTCTTTACTAAACTTATGATTATGGGTTCAAGACCCTTTCTCCTCTATACCTAAATTATACAAAATAAATGAGACATAAACCCAAAATATGACAATAGGAGACACAAATGTGTCAACACAATACCACCAACAAGCAGCCTCACTTTATAATAGTGAGACAATGCAAATATTGGGGTATTTCGAAAAAATCCAAAATATGAGGCACAAATGTGTCAACATCACCAGAAAACTTCAATTTATAATAGGTATTTTGAAAAAATTCAAAATATGAGACATAAATGTGTTAACACCGTCAGAAACCTTCACTTTATAATAGTACTAGCGGTCGTAAAGGTCCACACCCACAATGTGTGTAACTCAAAAAAAAAAAAAAATTAAGAATAATAACAAAGAAAAATATACATATAGCATATATTGTTCAAATAGTAAAAGCTTTCATTATTAAACCTATGGTCATGGGTTTCTTGAGGCCATTCCTCCTCTTTACATAATTCTTGCAAAATTCACCAAATATAAGGACAGTTTGGATGCCAATAACACCATTACAAAATTCACCAAGAGTATTTTGGAAAAATTCGGGAAAACACCGTTATTCACCGAATATAAGAGTATTTTGAAAAAATTCGGGAAAACCCAAAATATGAGACACAAACATATCAACACCATCAACCTCCACTTTATAATAGTATAGGGTATTTGGGATGTCAACAACACTATTACAAAATTCACTAACCAAAAAAAAGTCAAAAAGTCTTAACCTAAAAAAGTCAAAAAGCCAAAAAGTCGATATCCTATTTAAGTCACATCATCTTATTTAAGTCGCATCACCTCTCTACCACATCATTTCAAACCCAACCCATACCCAACCTATATTTCATAAAAAATCAAAAAGTGCACTTATATAGATCATCCCAAATCACCCCTAAATATAAGAGTGTTTTGGGAAAATCTGGGATAAACTAAAATATGAAACACAAATATGTCAACAACACTAGCCCTCACTTTATAATAGTATAGAAGATAGATAGATATAGAAGATATATGACTTTTCTTAGCCATCCAAAATAAATAACTAAATAAATTGTACACACAATAATTTGACAAATAAATTTGTATTAATTAATTTTAAATTAAAAAATAAACTTAAGTGATTTACTTTGGTCACTCTGGCAGAAGAGGTCTATCTTTGAAACTATTTATTGGCCAAAGCTTTAATCTTTTTAGGTCAAAATGACATTATTTATCCAAAAGGACAATTATATGTTCAAAAACTTAACTATTTGTCTATCTGTTCAAATGCTACAAGTTTGGTTTTCAAATTTTTAAAAAAAAAATTAGAACTAAAAATTAATTTAGTGATGAAATGAAAAAATAAAAAGGTCCAAATTGAAAGTAATATTGGGTGATAGGTTAAGGGGATAAAATGATATTGGGTGGTAATTCATGGGGGTAAAGTGTAATTTATCCTATTGATGAAAGGGTATTTTTAGTCATAAAGGTCCATATTGGAAAAAAAAAAGTAGATGAGGGAGGCTAGTTGTTAAAATTTTTAGTTGAGGGGACTAAATTGATAATGACAATACTTGAAGGGAATAAAGTGTAATTTACCCTTAATATTAAGGAAGATTTTCGCAGATGATGGGTCATCTTATTTAGACATCATTAAGTTTAGAAAGTGAGTTTACGAAATAGACTTCTATATCATTTTTCTTTGAGAAATTAAATAATTATTAAAATATTACTTCAATTAGCTTAATAAAAAATTATACAAGACTAGTTTTAATTAAACATATTATTCCCTTTTAATGAACCTATGTAATAATTTAAAATATTACTAATGTTCTTATGCTCATAAAGTTTCACAAGCAATTCAATTAAAAATAAAAGATAATTGGCTATCTTACACTGGAAGAATTATGGTGTGCATCCCTTAAGGGTGCATACCATATGTATCCTATTATAAATTGGTATAATTTTTATTATAAAATTTCATAATATCAACGACAAAATACGTAATCTCACTACAAAGTAGCTAATAAAATGTCCATAATTTTGTGATTCATGTAAAAAAAGTTTGTGATTTAGTTATGATATTTTTTGTTATGCCAATTTGTGACAAGGTTATATATTTTATGGTTAATGTCACGAAATCTTGTGGTAAAATTACCCCAATTTATGGTGCATGCATATGGTTAGTTTTAATAGTTAGTTTAAAACTATTTAATTATTTTTTGTTTTAATAGAAATTGCTTTCTAGAGTTTAAATAAATATGATGAATTATTTTTATTTTATAAAATTTTATATTTAAAAAATACAAAATTTTCACTCCGTGCGTAGCAAAGGCTTTTTTTTTTTTTTTTTAAAATTATACTAGAAAACTCAATAATAAAAGTGTTACATTTCATAAAAAAAAGAAGATGAATGCCATGTTTGGTTTGTATTTGTGAAACAAGTTTGAAAAATAATTTTTTGGAAAGAGTACAAAATTTTTAATTTTTTTTTGGTTGCAGGTTTTGAAAATAGTTTTAAAGTTTTGGAGTTTGAAATGATTTAATTTTTTTTTTTTTTTTTTGTGGTTGAATAGATGGGTGTGAGAGAAAAAGTGATTGACTAATGTATAGGATATGAGAGAAGGAAAGATGAGGGAAAAAAAAGTGATTGATTGATATATAGTAGAGAGCAAAATGATTTTAAAAGCAACATATTAGAAAATTTCAACCAAACAAATTTTTTTAAAAAAAAATTTATCAAAAATTATCTCTCAAGAGCCAAACAAGGCCATTATTAAAGAACATGTGGAGTCTTTTTCAGCATAATATAATACTCTTGCCAAATAAAGCGACCCACAAACAAAGTCATGGAAGTCTTGCAAAAAACGACATGAAAAAAAATATGGAATAAGATTCTTTGCAATATCTTTCTTGCAATAATCAAGATTATTGTAAGGATAATAGTATTTTAGACTTAAAGCGTCCATTTACATTATCACTAATTAAGTTTTGAGCTTAAATTACTTATCTAAATTACCTTTGCAAGATTATTTCAAGGGTGATTATGATTCTATTTTGAAAAATATGAGACCCATGAAAACAACAATGAGAAAACGACAACCATCTATCAAATATACACTGCATAACTTTAGATTTTGGGTAGAAAGAGGACTATTTGTTGCTTGATTCCTTTGTCGACTGATTTGCTCCACTTCCATCTTTGATTCCGTAATGCGTTATGCCCTAATTTCTTTCATCAACTGGTATGATATGTATCGATTTCTTTTACTATTCTATTTTTATTTTTTGTTGGGGGTCAAAGACACCAAACGAGGTCATTTAATAGCATGGGGAGTAAAAAATGAAAATAATTCGAATTGAATTCATTCCGATTCTACGATTCCATTATTGAATTGCATGATTCCAACAAATTTCTTATTCTTAGTTGCAATTTGTGTTGCCCTATGTAAAACTCGTATAGAATTATACAAATCATATTACGAATTGTATAATTCAAACCACTATTTCAATATTAGTAGTGAGTGCTACCAAATTTTAATGTGAACAACTAAGTCTTATTTTTCCTAATTTATTCTCAAACAAGTTCACATCTCCTTAATAATATATTTCATCACAAATTTACCATTCTTATAAAAATATGAATAACAATTGTATAATTAATTTTAATTTACTTTAAGTATATATTCTTTAGTTGTAAAAATTATAAAAACTATATCAAACAAAACAATTTGATAAAATAAAAAAGAAATATTATACATAATCCAGGTGGCTAGGCTTCGTTTGGGAAATGGGTTGGTTTTTTGGCTATTTTAGCCTGGGGTAAAAAGCCTTGTTTGGAAAGAAATTTTTGTTTTTTTTTGAATTTTTGTGAGAAAAAGAATGTAATGATTATGGGTTGGATGTGATGTTTTGTCTTATTGACTAAAAAGCCTATTTTATCTTTTTGTGGCTAAAATAGCCCTAAACCCAACCCAATCCTTCTTCTCAAACGAAACTAGTGGGATGAATTATTCTGTTTCGCATGTATCAACTTCAAGGTATTCCTTTATTTCCAAGTTATCTAGTGGATCCATTCTACAAGGTGGTTATGTGCGAGGAATTATTTTGTTTTGTGGGAATTTTACGTTGGCCGTGTGCTTGGCGAATAGCAAGGGCTAAATAAATACATGA